ATATATATATATATATATATATATATATATATATATATAAAGATTTTTGTAAATTCAACTAAAAGAATATAAGGATTTATAAAATGGTAAGTCAATAATTAAAGTATTAGGTAACTAACCATATTTAAGCCAAATAAACATTTTAATGGTTTACTATCTTAATTAAAGTATTTGGTATGTCATTAAGTAACTGACCATATTTAAGCCAAAGATGAATACTAGTTTCCATATTATTTTTTTTGGGCTGGTTGTCTTTAATTTTATTTACTAATAAAATAAATATTTTAATTACTTACTATCATTCTATTTAGCAAAAATCCATGACAATCTTATTACGTGAGTTGGAAGTTAAAAATTAGAGTTTGACCATAAAATTTTAAATATTTTTGACAAATTATTTTTGGATGAAGTTTAATTAGATATTTGATTATAGATTTTATGAGAAATATTTGATTTTTTTAAAAATAATTATTTATATTCATAATTTTAAAAATTATTAAAAGACTTATGTATTATCATTATATATTAAAATGTTTCGTGAAAAGTTATGTGAATTTTTTATAAAATATATATATATGATGGAATAAATTTCGCACAACAAACTAGGAATGACATTTAGTCTAAAAGTATAAATGATGAGTGTTTTTTTTTAAAATATAAAAGTTTGGGGTAATTTTTAAATATTTTAGAAAAATTCAAATACTATAATTTAGCTAAGATTCTAATTTTTTTTCTAAAACTTGGGAACTTGAAATATTTGTCAAATATATTTGTGAAGTAATGAAAAATCATATGGCTAACACTAGTTTCCAAATTTTTTCTAAATATATTTGTGGTTAAACGGACCCTAAGTTATTTGACATAATTATTTCAGATAAATATTAACTGTAGATTGTCTGAAATTATCGTGATATATATATATTTTTTTGCATTTTCAAGTAATTAAAGTTTATGAAAAAATAAATCTAATTTAGGATTGAAAGATAATTATTCCAATATATAATTCGTATAAGTGCTTTTCACGTATAAACTCTGTGTCTTGATACCTAAATGTGAAAAATACTTAGTTTGAATGATCAATTTTTAAATAGCTTGTTAAGACCTAATTAAATAAATTACTTTTAATTTAAACAACACATAAAACTTTTGGAATTTCTTGAAATGCAACATAACACGTGAAATTGTGCTGGCATTTTTTTATTTTTTATTTTTAGCTAAAGATATTGTTGTCCAAATTTATTTTCGAGTTGAAGGATGGCAAAACATTGTATATTTGATTATTCTCCGTCTCTTTCACTTTCTTATTTATTTTTATCATTTTAAACTGCTATATAGTTTTTACTCGATTTAACTAGTCGTTGATACTGCTTCTTTTTTTTTTCAAAAAGAAAATCTTATTAATTCTATTTCTTTATTGTTTAATTATTATGTTTAATCCAAAATTTCTTAGAGAAGGCCAAAACATATATTAAGAGATAGTTTGGATGAGATTTTAAAATTAGATTTATCTGAAGTTGATATTTTTTTATATAGAT